CCGTGGGTTCAGCGCCCCCGGGCTGGCGCTGACCGGTGCCCGGCTCCCGCCCCTTTCCCCGGGTCGCTTCTCCCGTGCGTTACCCTCCCGCTGTCTCTCCTTGTCCGCCAGACTACCAGAGCGAGTATTACGGCCCTGGAAGCAATTACGATTTCTTCCCGCAAGGACCTCCCTCATCGCAAGCCCAGACCCCCGTGGATCTCCCGTTCGTGCCCTCCTCGGGGCCGTCAGGCACCCCCCTGGGGGCCATGGATCACCCCCTGCCCGGACACCACCCCTCCAGCGAGGCTCAGCGCTTCACCGACATCATGTCGCACCCCCCCGGAGACTCGCCCAGCCCCGAACCCAACCTGCCCGGGTCCTTGCACTCCATGTCCGCGGAAGTTTTTGGCCCCAGTCCTCCATTTTCTTCGATATCCGTCAACGGTGGTGCTAACTATGGCAATCACTTGTCACATCCCCCAGAAATGAATGAAGCGGCTGTGTGGTAGCTTTAAAACAAACTGGGTCTAAGTAAGTGATGATCATCTAGTCTGCTTATTGTTATGGTGTACAGAAATGAATAAATATAACATCTCTCCTGCCCTAAGACAATATTACCTTGGGAACGAACTGAATCCAAATCGCTCCAAGGCAAGCTTTGCTCTAGACCGGGACAATCTTCATGTTATGGTTGTATCAAACAAGCAAGGGGACTTTTTTGTACCATTGACAAAGAAACTGGTGAAGCTGTACAGTAAAGTGCTGCCATGCCGTAGGATGGCGTAAGTTTGATTACCCTGTTGGATGTCATCCTAAGAGCCACAATCCTTAGAAACTTCTCATTTAAAAAAAAAAAAAAAAAATTTAATAATTGAATGAAGGAAAGGTCAAAGAAAAGGGGAAAAAAAAAGCTTCAAGAACTCTAGCGTTCCCGGTTAAGGATGGTTCTGGCATTCTGAATTTGTTTGTTAATTTTTGTCTCTCAGAAAGTTCACCAAGGAGAAACTCTTTTTAGCTTCAGCCATTTCAGCCTGCTGACTACCAGGTGGGACAACTTTCTTTTTCCTTTGTTTTTGTTTTGTTTTCCAAAATAGCAAATACTAAATGTTAAGCCCTCAGCACCAACTCTTCTACCTTCACAAAGCTACTCGTACAAAACCTCCTCATCATAGCGAAGGTCACCACCCCGACCTCTAACGAAAATGACTTGAAAAAACAAACAAACAAACACAAAGTATTCTACCTTCACAGAGAGAGAAAAGCTAAACGAAAAGACTCTATTGAACTAAAAACAGTCAACTGTTTACGTCTAATGTTAAATTCAGGAGTTCAATGTTTTACTAATAAATCCTGTTTTAGAACCTCTTGTTCAAAAGCAAAATATTTTGAGCAACCAACCAAAATAGTTCATTTTCTTTTCTGTAGATGTTATAACAGATTGCAGGGCTTGTGGTTCACTGTGCTAGTTTGTAAAAGGTGTTGTTTACAGAAGGCAAAGAAAAAAAAAAAAACCCCACGAAACCCAGACAGTTGCCAAATAAAGTAAATCTATAGCACAAATACTGTAAGGTGCTTTGCACCAGCAACCCGAGAAGGTGTTTAAAAAAGTGTTACAAGGTTAAAAAAAAAAAAAACAAACAAAAACAAAAAAAAAACCACAAAAAACAAACATCTTTGCTAATTTTTAGTCCTGTTGAACATTCATGGAATTGTTAATATGACTTATATAGACCCACACAGGTTTTATTTTTGTGTCTTTAAAATAAAAGTCCAAAATATTTAAATTTTATGGTCAAATATGCAGTCAACAGCTGCTACTTTTTTCTTTATATATTAAATTTCTCATATGTCTTTTATTGTTCTAATAAACCTAAGCTTGTGTGACCTCCAGTGCATATTAGACCATTCACTGTATGAAAGAAAACATGTTGGATAAAATTTGTGCGTTTTTAATAAAATTAGAAAATCTGATGTTTAGATAACTCGTGTTTCATTTGATGTTTGAAGCAATTTTAAATGGATTCGCTCGAGTCAAACAGCCCTGAGAAAGCACGAGCCGCTCTGCTGCTCATCCCGTACAGCGCTTTTGCCGTGGTAGAAGTCGAAAGCCCGGGCGCGGGGCCCAGAGCCGCCCGCCGCCAGCCCCAGCCTCTTCCCATCTGCAGCCTCCGTTGCCGAAGGACAAATAAGAGGTTATGCTGCCCGTTACATTTCAGCATTGGAACCTAATCAAATTGTTAAGTGCAGTAACCTACTCCTGGTCTATGCTAAGAGAAAACCTACTCAAAATGCTCATTTTCTGCCTAACCAAAAATGTAAATGTAAAAAACTTGCCAAGATAAGGTTTTTAATCGATCCGTTTTTAGTTAAATTCATTCTCCACTGGTAATTTTCCTTTCTCTTTTTTTTTTTTTGTTTTTTTTTTTCCTCCTAATTGGATGGTTTCGAGCACAGCGTAACCTCAGCGTCATGAAAGTCATTTTAATCCTTTTTTAGCGCTGATACCGAGTCAATTGTTTAATAGCGTTGGGTACGGACGAAGTTCTCTGCAGGGCAGCGGGGCAGAGTGTTTTGCTGTGCACTAGAGACGCGCTCATTTTCTTGCAGGAAAATGAAACAAAAAAAATCTGGAACCTTGTGAAATGACAGATTTAATGGTTTAATTGTAAATGATTGCAGGACCCCAAATACTCAGTTCTTCAAAAGCAAAAGCCTCGCTGATCCCGAGAGGGTTTTGACCTGTGTTAGAAGCAAGGAATTAGGTCCGGTTCTGCGAAGTCACTGGTTTGAATGTGTTCCACCTGCTGGGCTAAGAGAAGGGGATGAACTATAATTGCGTATTTTCCGCCGTTTCTCTTCTAATCGTGACTCTGGCTTCTTTTTTATTTTACGTAGGCGCAGAAATTTCTGCTCAAACACAGACTTCTGCATTCCCAGCGATTCAGTTATTTATCTCTTTGGACTGAGGCGGGGGGAGGGGGGGGTAAATCCAAATGCTTTAAAGTTGTGTGATTTGTGATTTTCAATGGCGATTTTTTAAAATTTTGTTGACAGCCTCGTTTCTATGCCCAGCAGAGGGGCCACCTGGATGAAGCAATAGTTCATTTTAAACACAAAATGTCTTATATAGGGATAAAAGCTATCTGCAAGGGATCTGTTAGTGTTTCTAAAAAAAAAAAATAATAATAATCATGCTTTATTAAATACAGGGGAGACTTCTTAAACTCATGGACTCCGTGTCTAACTCATTTATTTGTCTTTTGTGGTGTTGCTCTGTGGCGTTGCTCTGTTTTGCATTTATATAAGCAAAGGAACGGCTGATCTATTTATTACAAACTTTTACTTACCCGGGCAAGTGCCGTTGATAAATACCGCTGTTTGCGCTTCTGGTCTGTGCTGCTGGTTTATTGTTGAATCAATTATTTTAAATGAGAATTTCACCAAATAGGCTTATTTTGTAGAAGACGTTTGCCAAGTGGGGTTTCTTTTTTTTCCTTCTTTCTTGTTCTTGGTTTGTTTTTTTTTTTTTTTTTCCTTCTTTTTTTTGGTAACGAGGTACTTGCACAGTTTATTCTGTGTTCATTTAGGCAGCGATGTGATACGGTTCAGTTTAGGTCAGTGGCTTATAAAAGGGAGGGAGGAGAGCCTGGTTTGTTTTTTTTTTTTTTTTCCCGAAGCTCCCATCCCTTCCGCAGGGGTTTTGCCCAGCTTGGGGGGGGAGCCCAGGAGCCGTTCCCATACTTAAGGCTGAGAGCGTGTCCTTCAGTGCTTCCCGGGATCCGCTCCGGAGGCCCCAGCGCTTTGCAGATTTGAATTCTGTGCTCTTCAGAGCGAGCTCGGTGTTTCTGAAGACCCTAATCCAGCAACAATTGCACAGTCAAAACTCCTTTTGAAATCATTGTCACGTTGGGTTCTTGTAAGTCCTTGTTTACAAGAGCATTTCCATTGACTTCAGTCGCATTGCCCGGGTGAATAGGGGTCCGCGGGAGAAGGGCCTCGACAATACGCGCTGCTTGGGTGGATTTTACATGTGCGTGTTAATTTTTTAACTGCAGAAACATGGACCTGACATGTATGCAGCGCTACGTGTGTGCAATGTGATTTCAAAAGCGTTTTTAGAAGTAATTACTCTCTTCTGATCTTTCCTTCCTTGACTGCTGCTGGTTTCGGTGACCTTCACCTTGTTGCTGTGTCCCAGCAGAAGGTGCAGCCCGGTGACGTTAAACCCCGCGCAGGCCCAGGTCTGCTCGCCCAATTTTGGATGGCATCCGTGGTGTTAGCCAGGGAGAGCGGCACGTGCCCTCCCGGCACGGACGAGGGAGGCTCGGTGTTTAAATGTGCGAGACCGAAGACTTGTGCGAACCCCGGGTGTGAGACCATGTACCGTTCGCTAGGAAAAAGGTGCGAGGCAAACATCGTAAGTATTCTTCATCTTGAGCTAATCTATATGGAGGAGCTATTTGGAAGGCTAATCCAAGTGTCTTTAAAATGCTGTGGGTTTCCAGCATCCAAACGACTCTGCTTTTGGCCCAAATGATTGCGCGCCGGGCGCCGCGCGCTGCCGCTGTGTGATGCTCCCCTCTGCCCTTTCCCTTCGGCCTCCGTCGCTGCTGGTATCTACTGGCGCAGGCCTTTGCTTGGGGAGCGGTCGGGGATTCGTAAAAATCTGCATCCCAAGACTAAGAATGTACTTATATTACCATTTGCAGACAAATTTTGTCTATTATTTTAATATGCGTACGTGTGCCCAGATGCTGAGCGATGGGTACACGATACGAATCTATAAATAAATACAATTTAAAAATATCGGTGGTGATTGACGCACTGTTGCCATCCTAGGAAGCGGCAGATGCGGCAGTGCCCTCTCAGGAACGATTCCTTCTGCCGTAGTCTGGATTTTTTTCCCTGAACAAGAGTGTTGTATTTAAGCTTTGCATGTTCTTACAATATTAAATATAAGCATTTGCAGGCGCCCTTCCTGTTACTACCCCTAGCAGATAAATTCACATATATTAAGATTAAACGACTGATACATATCCTTAAATGCTGCCTTTTTTGAGCTGGGAACAGGGAATTGTGATGCTGGAGCGGGTTCTGGAAGGCCTTTCCTTTGTGTCTGCCGTGGCACCGGGGTGCTCCGCGTTCCTCATGCCAACAAAATATCCACAAAGTTATAAATGAATTTAATGGGACCATTAAAAATATATTTTGATTACAAAGCCTTCCGGGATTGCTGTCTTCCATTTCTTTTTCAAGAGTATTTGTGGTGGTTTTAGCTACGGGTCGTGCTTAGAAAGCGGAGTTTGTCGTTGTCTGGAGAGTTTGTCGTTCATTAAATGCAGAATTGTAATGCAGGAATTGAGGGGTAAATGTGGCCTTACAGTTAGCTGACCTTGCCGTGACTGAGCCTCTGTCCCTGGCATTACCGTCACCGGAGCGCTCAGGGCGACTGATTTTAGGGCGACCGAGTTTTCCTGCAGCGTTTTCACCATTTGCGCGCGGGGGCGCTGAACGTGGTGCCCGGAGCTGTTTTTATCGTGCGTAGCGTGGTCTGGTTCTCGGAGAATCCCCTTGGCCCAACACGTAAGGCTCCTGGGGACGAGGGGCACAACCCGTCTCTCTTAGGTCTTCTGTTCCAGGCTGCCTTCAAATTCAGGAATAGCTCTGTGGTGATGACGTCTGGGGCGCTGTTTAGAGAGCGGTTTTGGCAACTGTAAGAATTAGATTATTTTTTTTTTTCCCCGATTGGTTTTAATACGAGCTTGCTTCCTGCAGCATCTGA